GGGGGCCGACCGAACCCATACTGGTGGCATTGGGAGCGGGAGGGTGGAGTGAAGGGGGGGGGAGGAGGAAGAGGAGAAGGAGGAATAGAGGGAGGAGGGGGAGAAGGGTGAGTAGTGGTGAGGAGAAGCGGCCTACCCGCATGGCGTGCTGGCCCCGGCAGCGGCATAGCAGTCGGGCAAATAAATCTAACAGCTCTTGGTAATTCAAACTCCAGGATAAAGCGCGGGCGGCCCAACGCACGCACGCACGCACGCACACAATGTGTGCATACGTGCACGGAATACACACACGCATACGAGACAAAAGCGCGTATATGGTGTCATCTTTGCTATATAGTTAGTTGACGCCTGTGGTGTACATTATTAGGTTGACGTCGCCCACCACACCAATGACAGTGGTGTGCTGCCCCCCCCCCCCCCCCCCCACACACACACACGTGCAGAGCAGAGCACAAGGTGTGTCGGCGCGCTGCCAGGACCCCGCCGGGGGAGCAGGCCGAGTCTCTGTGTGCGGCTGACAGGCAATCATGGTTGAGGTTGTCGCAGCGGTCGAGCCGTCTCGGCCGCCGCACGCACGCGGGCCGTTCACCACCGGGCCGCGTAGCTCACTCATAACGTCGGCGTAGTGTCCCATATCATGGAATCAGGATCAACCAAGGAAAGTGCGCACTGTCAAATATAGTAGTGAGCCGGTTTAGAGAAAATTTTGCCTTGGAGCAAGTTGTAAACTTACGATTTGTAATCGTAAAAAAAAGTAGGAATCGACTTAAAATGCATTGGCGAGTAAAATATGTGCTCTCGTAAATTTGCAACTTACATAAAACTGGAGTTGACAAAATTTTTGTAAATTTATGACGATATTTTTCACAGTGCACACTTGCACTGTATAACGCTTTAAAAATACATTCTTTGGAATGTTGGAAAACAAATTTGCTACCTTTGAACTGCAAATAAATTCTGTTCGTAATTGCAAATTGCTCGTCCGAAACAAAAAGCACTCACGGCGCAGCGCCTCTAGAGAAACGAAGTATCGTTGCGCGACCCTAGTGAAACCACGTAACTCATTTTTTGACCTTTTTTTAGGAACTATACAGGGTGGGTGATCCGCGCCGTGGTTTTTTCTGCTTATGCTGTACCGGATTCGTGCGTGCGGGCGGGCTTGCCTATCGTCGCTCGCCATGGCGCCTTACGGCCCCGTGCGAGTATGCAACCCGTCCGCACCCATGAATCCGGTACAGCATAAGCAGAAAAAACCACGGCGCGGATCACCAACCCTGTATACTTCAATAGTGTGAAAATTTCTTTATTGAATGGTATAGATTTCAAAGATTATCCAAAATGGAGATACTTACTTGGTCTCACCATCATCACGCAACGATACTTGGTTTCTCTTGAGGCGCTGCGCCGTGCGTGCTTTGAGTTAGGGACGAGCGATTTGCAATCTGGCTTAATCCTCACGGTTATTCAAAAAACGTAACGTCACATTCGTTTCAATGTGAATCGTGTCACATTCTTTAAAATATTGTGTCCCACTCGTTTCAAGGTAAATCTATGCCTTAATGCTCCCAGGTTAGCTGATTTACGTTAAAACGAATGTGACACAACATTTAATCGGATGTGACACGATTCACATTGAAACGAATGTAACGCCCACATTCGTTGAAAAACAGTGCCTGCCAACAGTGTGCAAGCTAAACTTCGGGCAACAATTACAACAAAAAAAATATTTTTTTGTAGTCATGGGATGATGTCATGACGTCATGATATCACATCCTGGGCAATTCTTTCTTCTTGGCACGGTATATGGGTTGGGTGTGCGGGAAATAACAACACGCCGCGTGGGCTTTTGGCTTCCTCAAAGGGACAGCAGGGAAAAGAAGGGAGGGCGTTCCACACCGACAGCTGTCCCGACCCAGCTCGCCCGCGCAGGCTAGCGAGCCCACCCTTCCGCTCTTTGTTTACATCTGAAAATAAGAGGAAAATAAACAAAACACTAAGGTTCTGTCCACACGGCGCAACATTTGATTCGTGTTTCCGTCCAATGTTACTGTATTGGTCTGCGTTTATTTTATACATTTATGGCATCTCACATTTCACATCAAATCTAGGATTTTCTTTGGGAGAAAGGTCACACCGTGAAAAGTATATAGTGGAATATGAGTTCACTCGACACCTCGACCTTCTAATCGTCTGTCACTGCCTTTCGTAGAATAGGAAGATTCTGAGAAGTTAACTTGTACTGAAAACTAAAATCAAAACATTGTTTCGGAACTTCCGAAGCACCAGACGCACGACAGATTAATATACTCAAGGTCAAGGAGATATGCATGGTTTGTTAATTTACAAATTCAGGAAGGATCTGTACTCACTACCATGGTCAAAACCGTAGTTAAACTATAGTTTGAGAATACTATGTAAACCCAAGTGTGATACAGTCCAACAGTTATAGGGGCAATAATACTTTGTATCATTTAAAGCTGTAGTACCATACACGTATCACACTTCCACGTATAGTACCGCACTACAGTTTTATGTTTGGTACTACACTTGAGAGTGTGGTACATGTATGGTACTACAGCTTTAACTGAGGTGGTACAGGTGGTACTGTACTACACTTGAGATTCCAGAGTCGTTTTATGCAGTTTAGACGTTGATTGCCTGCGTCATGACCGCCATGTGGACGCTCCCATGTTAATTGTTAAGCATTAAAAATGGGCTTCGGGGACTTGTAAACTACCCCTTCCTCCCCCTGAAATACGACAACGGGCGAATTACGCCGCCCGTGCCCGAGCCGATACAGTAGTTCGAAGGGCGGACGGACCCAAAGCGCAAAGCGGTCGCCTCGAACAAGAGGATTATTGAATAATGTATAAGAGGTTTGGCTTGAAAAGAAAAGAGAGGAGCTAGGCCGATGTGTCGGGTGTAGCCGCTGTATGGCCTCCGGGCAGCGGAGTGCTTATCAAAGACAAACACGTGCCCCGGAACCGACTCGCAAAGTGGCTGCATCGGTAAGCGGGATCACCCCCCTCCCCCCCCCCCACACACACACACACACACATTCTCTCTATTTCTCTTATCTCACACAGAGCGCTTGGTGTCACGCGCGTGTTTGTTTGCGCGTGTTTCGCGATTTGGCAACCAGGAGAAATGATGTGCCGTGGGCCGAGGGGGGCCGACCGAACCCATACTGGTGGCATTGGG